CCCGGTTTAAGAACAACCGTACGACGGCCCGAACAGACTACCATCTGGCGGGGAGGTTCGGGAGGGGTCTTTGTGTAGTCGAAGATCAATACTTCGGGATGCGGTCCTTTCGTAGCTATCAAACAGGGGTTTTGCGGCATGTAACTGTGGATAGATATAGGGGTGGGTAGCAGATTTGTTAGTACACAGCTAAGTGAAACATGATCAAGTGCATGAATACGAACCTCGCCTCAGACTCAATACAGCTATCAGGTTCGAACGCAGAGCAAAAATCGAGCACTGTATACAAATTCGTGACACGCCAGGAGATTTGTTTCTGTTGCGCACTCACCTAGCCTTGTGAACTTCATTCTTGTGTATAATCTTCTGCGTGGTGGTTATCCTGGCTGCGCTACACCCGTAGCCCCCATACTCGCCCCTGTCCGCGTCAAACTTAGGCCCCCCATTAGGTCCGTTGGTGTTCTTATTATTCTCGCCTCCCCCTTCTTCGCTCTCCTGCGTGTCGTCTACGGTGGTCTTTGGCATTCGTAACGAGGCTATTAATATATGGTTCGGCTCCTGCCCGGAGGTGTGGGTGCCCAGGAGTAACCGGTGTTCCTCGTAATTTGTATCTGGCGACCTTCATTGTGTGAGGGAGATGCACGCACAAGGCAGTGAGAGACGGTTCTAGCGCATGGCACAAAGTGATACATACAGCAGGTTAAGTACATGTACCCCCTCGGTGGTGTGGGCCCTTGGATTATAATGGGACTTCCTACGAAAGCGATATCGAACATACAACTGTATGTGGATAGTAAGCTTCACGTGCAGCTGGATTTCACACAAATTTATACGGAGACGTATATATCTGTAGACACACATGTGTGTATAGGTGAATGGGACGAGATATATACAGAATGCAACTATGCGCAGAGTAGGAATCGTGCATCTGTGTAGATCTGCATGTAATGATTGCTGAGTAGGGTACAAAGCACTGATCATCAATATATAGCAACAGAGGTACTGATCCTACGTTCACGCGTTTCCGCATCGCATGGCACTATTCTCATTGACCGTAGACACCCGCAAAACACGTGCATCATGAATACCCACTGCTATTGGATTGTGTGACCAACTGATCGTGGATAAGCGAAATATAGGGGATCTGCAACCAACGTGCTGCACCAGATCCCATTTCAAGGGCTTCAATTAATAAGGGACAGCATACAATAGGACAGATTCCCAACTCTAGACGAGCATTGCGAGAGACGACTACCTCACAATATCAGGTAGCCATGAGCATGTGAGCGTAGGCCATGCCAGCGCGTGAGTCATGATTACGTCGTATAGTAGGGGCGTGTTCTTCTTCCATATCTTGTGCTCATCGTTTAGTACTTTAGCCTGGGCTATCTCCGTGGCTATTCGGGCTGAAGGATGTATGAGGCGAAGATGGCATATCGCGTGAATAGGAGTCCATACGGGTGATGATATAAATTGCAACTGTCATAAAAGTACATCACGACTGTGCAGAATACATACATAGATAAATACATACTTACATACATACACACATACATACATACATACCTATATACCTATATCTCTATCTATATATATATATACTACATATATATATATAAATATATATATATA